GCACTCTGAAGATGCCAGCCACAGAGACTGGTGAAACGTTAGGAAGAACAACCTTCAGAACACGGCCAAAGAGCCCGAAAAACCCACAACATCTACTTCTGCTTCATTGACTATGCAAAAGCCTTTGATTGTGTGGACCACAGCAAACTATGGAAGTCCTTAAAGAAATGGGGCTGCCTGACCACCTTATCTACCTCCTAAGGAATCTACATGTAGGACGGGAAGCAACAGTTAGAACTGGATATGGAACAACTGATTGGTTCAAAACTGGGAAAGGAGTACAACAAGGCTGAAGGAAATCAAGGCAAATGGAGATCATGGCATTCCAGTTGAGTGCTCACTGGAAGGACAGATCCTGAAGCTGAGGCTCCAATACTTTGGCCACCTCATGAGAAGAGAAGATTCCCTGGAAAAGACCCTGATGCTGGGAAAGTGTGAAGGCGACGATAGAGAAGGGGATGATAGAGGACGAGATGGTAGGATGGTGTCATCAAAGCTACCAACATGAATTTGACCAAACTCCAGGAGGCAGTGGAAGACAGAAGGGCCTGGTGTGCTCTGGTCCATGGGGTCATGAAGAGTCAGACACAACTTAATGACTAAACAACAATAAAAACTGACAAGAGGAGAATTGGCACTGACTGTGTTCAGTAAGCCAGAAAGCTTTAAGAACTGGTTTGAGTCTCATGCACCCCAGCCTTTCAAAACTCTGGGGATCCTAACTACAACTAAAAAGCAAACAAGATGGTAGACTTAGCAGTTTTACAGAGGTTACCCCTTGAATGGTGAAAAGAAACCTATGAAAGCACATGCTTTCCCTCACCTATGCAACTTCCATTTATCTTGTTTTGTTTGTAATTGGGCACAAACTGGGAAAACAGAGGTTTGTGATGGTTCGTGATTCCTCACTGTTCATGAACCACAAACCATGAACTTTCACAAACTTTCCAATGAAATGAACCATTTTGTCACTCTTGTCATTTGGGATTTCTGGGAGCAGTGGAAAGTTCACCATATGAGTTAAGGAACCCAAATTTGCAGCAAGTCCCAAATTACACAAACCACAAAGCATACAAATTACCAATGGCAATAATAGTTCAGCATTTCATTTTGTGAAGGAGAGAGAGAGAGTGTGTGCCGTCCTCCCCACAACAGAGAGTGGAAGAGGGGGAGGGATGCATAGAAGGAATACTGGTGGATATAGAGCAGGAGCAAGTAGTGGAGAGAGAAAGTTTGGAGGTGCGTTTAGCAGACGAAAGAGGGGAGGAGCTAGACTTGATTGTATGGGAGGGGGATATAAAAGAGTCAGAAGGTACGCAAAGTTTTAACATTCTAACAGGCACACACTCTGACAAGAAGGACCGGGCAGTACAGACAGTGTGGAGTGCCAGACAGGAGGGCTTTTTTTCCACACTGCTTCAGGAGTTCCCAAACCTACAAGCTGGCGGAGGACTCCTACCAGACCCTACCGGCCTGCGCACGAAGGAGGAAGGACTTGAACCTCTGGAATGGACGGTAGTGGTGTATCCACGCAACCGACGTGGGGGGAGGAAGGTGATCCGTCCCAATCCCTCTTTACTCCGACCACAACGAGAGGGAGACTGGGCATGACATCCATGTTGTGGGACGGTGTGTGCAGTGAGGAGCACCCCCCTGAGGCCCATGACCGACAAGGAATGGTTTGGTCTGGCCCCTCTCTAAGGACAGATGTTCTTACGCCTGTTAAGGTGTGGCATTATCATCCGTTGCCAGAACTTAGTTTAACGGATCCGTTTGAGCCAATGGAGTTGAGTTTGTTTACAAATAAATCTAGTTGTGTTAAAAATAAGGAACAGCCTCCGACTCTCATTCTGGCGTCAAGACAGGGGTCACTCCCGGCAAACAACGAACCTAATCACACATTTCATTCTGGGCAGACACATTTTCCTGATGCGCCATGAAACAGCCCAATTCATGGTTTTTAAAAAAATTCATCTCTATTTGTGAATAGTCATTAAAAAGTAATTTGCAAGTCTGATTGCTTGAGGTATGTATCTTTGAGGAAGTCTCCTTAGGGATGGAAAAGTATGTTGATTGAAGGAAATACACATTCATGCTAACATCAGCTTTCACTCCTTCTTGCATCTCTTTCTTGTCTCTGGCTTTGCTCAATAAATGGACACTCATTAGACAAATATTTCTTCAATTTGATTAGTGGATAGTTCATATTAGCTCACATTTTATCTTATTATATCACCATAATCACAATCAATAGTGAAATTATCTGAAACAGCCCATAATAAACAAACTGATTAAACTTTCTTTTTGAGGAAGCTCCACCTTATCCTGCTTGTGTTAAATCTTCTTATTTATATTTATATTTAAAATGGTGATGAGGTAACAAACTGATTGCTGATAATGTACGCACATTACTGTGTAAATACAGCAAAACAAATAGGATTGCTGTAAAGAGATACAGAACCAGTCTGCCCCGGCATATGGTTATGGTATATGGAACCCTGATGGCATTCTTTAGCACACACACAAAAAATACTTCATCCACTTGTGTTTCTACTTAGAACGATTCATCCTTCCCCTTTAAAAGTTGTACCACACCAAATTGTCACCAGGCTGGGGCATGTAATCTTTTTGGCATGATTTATTTAGATGCAAAATAGCTCTTTGTTTAGCCTTTGAGGATAAGTACAATCAGAAGTATGCTCAAAAATTTCTAGCTGTAACTTAGGTGTTCTTCCCAGAAGAGTTCCTTGCACAACAGTTGTTAAAGCTTCAATTTAAATTCTCTCTCTAGTAATCAAATAATTAAATAAAAAAGAGACTTAAAAAAGACCAGCTTGGCTAACTTACTTTTGTGCAATACATTTGAAATTTATTCGCCATTTAAAAATTAATATTTTATTAGTTTTTCAATCTATCTACACTCAGTTTGTGGTTGTTAAACATCATGTTGCATGGGTTGCTTATAATTTTTTGTTTTTGCATCCTGGTGTCTTCTTAGGTGTCCCTTCAAAATATTTCCATTTGTAAAACATTGAACTAATCATGTATTTATGTACAATATTGGCTATTATCATAATATTGCTCTCATAGTATACAATGTTCTCAAAATCCTCTAATAAAGTACCTAATACAAGCAATCCTGGTTTCAAATCTATATAATTTTGAGGCAATTTAACCAACCAACTTTGTATTTTATACCAATAATAACTAAATAGGTTCCTAATACATAATTAATGTTATCTAAAGCATTTTATATAGATTTTTAAATATAATTTAGCCTTTCCATCTCCACATTTCAGTCATATCTATATCAATCATATGTAATATATGTTAATTAAGTACTAGCTTCAATTTATCTTAAGAACTACCTTGTTATGCCTTAACCATGATTATGGATCCCTTATTTCAGTTTGATTCCCTTTTCTAATATATAAGATATGCCCCCCCCATGATCAACAGGCATCTCCCCCATTTCACCACCTCTTCAGGGTGGTTTTAACCATCTGGAGGGTCCCAAACAGGTCAGAATTCAGGCCAGGGGACGGAGCTCCATCCTCCTACTGCTGTCTCATCGCAGATCAAGCTGGAAGTCCAAATTTATTCATCATTTTGAAGCTTTTAGTCCCATTGTAGTTTGTAACACTAAAGCTGTTTATATGGATATATGTGCTATATCAGGCTGCATGTTGATTCAATAGATAACTATTTATTTTGTAAAGGATTGTTTTACATTTAAAATGTGTTGCCAAGACACAGAAATTTAATTCCTGTCTCATATCTTTAAGACTTCTGTGGAAACATCTCCCCAGAAATACCTTCATGAAAATGTATGCCATAGAGTTCTCAAATTAATTCCAGAATGAGTTCCTTACACCAATGCACAACACAGCCACTATGGAAGAAAAAGAGAGCAAGTGTTATAATTAAATAATAGCTAGGTCCTTTAGTGAAAACTTAACAACTGTTATCATCATCACCAGTGTAATGGCTGCTGGTACAAAAAGTGATAAAGTGAGACAGATTAGGTGGATAATGTGCATTTTTAAAACATATGTGTGCAACATACATACACACAGACGTGCATGGAGCCAATGAGTCCTGGCACCAGATAGAGTGGGTGGGTCGGTGTGAAGCCCTAAAGGTCTTATGGCTTGGCCCATGGAGATTCAAGGACAGCAATTCTCTGAGGGTCCAAATGGCACCCAGGTCTGAGACTTTACAGTCCCATGTGCTAACCTGCTACTCTCCAGTATAATGGAAGACACTGTTACATCATTGCTGCTCAAGTAAGATTGCTAGCAGTCACATCACCTTCTGTACCTAAAATTGGGTAAGGAGGAGGAGCCTTGTGGTGCAGTGGGTAAACTGCAGTACTGCGATCAAGAATCTACTCATGACCTGAGTCTAATCCCAACAGGCTCAGGTAACTGGTTCAAGGTTGACTTAGTCTTCTATCCTTCTGAAGTTGGTAACTGAGTACCAGCTCACTGGTGTGTGTGTGTGTGTGTGTGTGTGTGTGTGTGTGAGAGAGAGAGAGAGAGAGAGAGAGAGAGAGAGAGTGAGAGTGAGTGAGTGTGTGTGTGTGTGTGTGTCTGTGTGCAATGTATAGCCTGCCTAATTAAAATGTAAACTGCCCAGAGAATATTTTAATGTGGTACATAAGCAGCACGTTTTGCTTTGCTTTGCATTTAACTCATCACCTTAGATGGCAAAATATCTATGACTGGCCCTGATTTCCAGATGCACAATCTCATTAAATCAGGTGCCAAGCACCATACATTTTGGAAGCAAAATAATTGAAATACTGTATTTGCTGATCAACAAATGAAAAGGTATATAAAGGCCTACTGTTTCTGTATGTCATTAGAATGTTCCTGACAACTCTGATGGATGTGAATTACATAATTTCACAACAGAATATTTTCAGAGATGTCCATGAGAACTTGTGTATGGTCCTAAGAGCTCAAAGGCAACCTCCACAATAATTCACAAAGGGAAAGAGAACAGAGATGGGCATGAACCACTGGCTAGCAGTTCATGCCCATTTGTTTAGCAGCCAAATGGGTGTTCAGCACTTCAAAGCCATGTCTCCTCTGTGGCAGTGACCGAAGGAGGCAAGGCACGGAAGGCAGGCCACTGCCTCTGAGTGGACACCCACCAGAGGAAGCAGGGCTTTGAAGCTCTGAACACCTGGCATGAACCACCAAACCAGCAGTTTGTGCCCATCTCTAATACAGAATCATAAAATTTATATAATTATGTAATAGTGAACATGTTAATAGTAAGCACATATGTTTTGTAAATTAAACAAAAATAAATATGTATAGATCAGTGTCAAGATTTGTTAAATCAAATATTTATTTTACCTCACACCAAAGTGCATTTTCTATTGACTTGCTTAATTTTCTTGGAAAGGGGGAAATACTGATAAAAACTGAGCCAAGTCCAATTAGAGTAGACCCATTCAATGACTATAAAGCCATCACTTATTGTGATTTATATCCATTAATTCAGTGGGTCTGGTCTGCTTAATTAATTAGATTTACCCCACTGAGTATCATAAGAGAAAAATATGTCTTAATATATGATTAAGAAACATTAGAGCTCATATCTAACTTAATTTCTCAAGGAATTTGTGGTATTAAATTTTTCTCAGCATTTCTGTTTTTTACTGTAAAATTTACAGTCCAGTTCTACCCCCTTCTCCCCCCCCCCCCCTTTTACTTAGAAGAAAGGATCAGTTTGCAGTGTAGCTTAGGAACTTAGCTCTCTTTGGAGACCTACAGTTTTCTATAGCAACTATACACTTATTACCAGCTACAACCAAGCAAGGTGCCCTCTTCAGGCCTCTGGGTAACACTGTGGCCACTGTGCCAGTTATTGAGTTAATATGTTTTTGAAGGAATGCATAAAATGTATAACTAGCATCAGAAAATAGGTCTACCATTTTTGAGGACAATAAGGTCTAGCTATCAGACAGGTTAGCCCCAGCCTTCAAGAAACTTTATCCTTCTGTTGTTTCTTAATGGCTAGAGTTATGCTTTATTCAGGCATTAAATTTATATGTGTACTCAATGTGTACTCCCACCCATTCCATTGTCATTTTCATTATTTTGTCTTATTCATGGAGTAGGATTGCCAGGTCAGCAGCATCCCGTTACCTAAAATTTCAGGACCAAAACCTGAGACCTAGGGGCATGTCCCTGTGATGTTACAGGAGGCTGAAAAGCCTTCAACAAGCAATGACTGCAAAATGTGTCTGTGAGAGAGACAGAGAAAGAGAGAGAGACAGAGGGAAAACACTGTGGAAACACAGTGAATTGGTGCTATTCCTTGTCTCTTTGATAATCTTTTGGAAGAGATGAGGACACTGAACATGAAAACATACCTTGGGAAGAAAGTGCATTACTAAAACAAAAACAATGTTTTCTAAATTAAAGGTGACGCAAATGTAAATTGTGTGTTCTGCAGTATGTCAGAGTACCCACTCCCAACAACAGGTCAAAGTTGCCAGGTCACCAACTTGAAATTTTGAAATTTCGCCAACCAAGTCTAATAGTCCCTAAAACCTAAGATTGAGGGCTACAGTTTCACATCTGGCAATGAAATACATATGAAGGTCAGAGCTACCTATATTGAAGCATTAGAATCCTGAGTTCTAATTCATGTGGAGAGTCCTCAGACTTGTTGCCTTTCATTAACAGGAGGGTGGAAGAAACAATGGTGGAGAGAGTAAACCAGAGCATTCTCCCTAGTCATACAGCCAGTGGCTTTGAATTTTAATGTCCAATGCCCAAAAAGTCTCTTTTCATTCATGACTGGAGCTTTTGGTTCTTTCCTTTATTCCTTTCACACCCTTCAGACCTTAATTTATGCTATAGTTCTGTCTTATTACCAGTCTATCATAATTTAATATAACCATATAACAGTTTATTTTAATCATCATTACCTCAGCCAGAGAGAGCTGGACAATCCCACACTTATCCTTGTCTAATGTGTGAAACATTTCTGGATAGCAAAAGGAAAACAAAGAGATATGAAAAAGAAAATGTTATCTCTCTTAACACTCTTTGCTATGTGGTAGGTGCAAACATGGGTATGAGTCCTGGAACTCAGATTCTTCAAATCTGAAGACAGGCATTTTCTTCAAAACATCATTTTACAAGGTATTAATGCAATTGCCATAACTGCACATTTGCTTGTGAGGGGAAAACATTCTGGATATTGTACAAGCATTTCTCATTGTGTACACAGAGCACAATGTAATAAAATTAGGAGATTCGTAAGCTGTCTAACTAATTCTCTAGCCTGAAGGAAGTATTATCAACACAGGCACACCCTCCCATAACAATCTAGATTTTTTCCAGTCATATCCAGAAAGCTGGATTTCTACAAAGGTGTGCCACTCCAGTAAATAATTTGAGATAGGTAGAGTGAGACAGCCTCCATGAGGTAGAGTGAGGCAGCCACCTCAGGAGGCAGATATTGGAGTTGTCTACTCCATATAGTCTGCCTTGTAACTCACAACCTAGTTTACTACCCTCAGGTACAATGGAGGATGCTCCCTTGACAGGAGGGGGTGCTTTGCATATAATGGCCACTGTGCATTCCCTCTTCAGTCCAAAATCTCTTGTCCAAACTTGACCCTGCACTAGATTCCAACGTGATAGAACAGTTTGAATGGTCTAGTTCCACACTGAGGCATGAAGCTCACCTTGGATCTGTCACTCTCTCTCAGTCACAGCCAACCCTAACTCACAGGATTCTTGTAAGGATAAAGTTGGGGTGGTGCCATGTCTGTTGCCTTGACCCCTTTGGAGGAATGATGGGGCAGAACTGTAACTGACAGATTAATAAAATGCCAGTGTGATATAGTGGATAAAGCATCAAACTAGGATATGGGGGACATGGATTCAAATTCCCCACTCAGCTATGGAAACTCTTTGGGGGGGTGGCAATGCTCCTTCATGCGCCTTGAAAACCATATATTAGTGTTGTCATAACTCAGAAGTGACATAACAGCAGCAGCTAAGTGTAACTAATAACTATTTCAATTGTTCCACACTTCAATAAATAGCAAGATGGCCGCCACATTGCCTGTCCAGAGAAGAGTCTGAAAGTCTCTTTGGCAGCTTTGATAAGTTATAGTGTATTTGACTTTGGTGGCAGGGGGAGACTCTTCTCTGTGTTTCTATCTCTGCCTTGTCAGAGACTGTTGCTGCCATGTCTGAGATCTTTTCCTGGCTTGGTAGCTGAGATACTTTGGCCATTTATCTAATTTTCCAAATTAAAGACATTTTGCAAAGGCACTTTTTCACTGGCACACACTTCTTTGTACTCAGGCGAAGAAACAGGGAGAGCTTTTTTACTTGTTAGTCAAAAGCCTGCGGCAAGGAGAGAACAGCACTCTGCCGGGTCCTTCCTCTCCCCCTGTTTCTTGTCTTCAGGAAAACTTACTGAAGAGAGTCTCCAGGCGAATCATACAGGCCAGGAAGCCATCAAAGTCAATGGTCAGCTTGCTGCAGGCATAGCGGAGAACTATGCTCTGCTGGACTTTGTTGTTCAGAGTGAAGCCTGTGAGAAAGGAAATCCAGAAACCAGTAAAGGAATGTGTGGTTATGTGAGCCGAGGCACCATTCAATTTAATTCACCTTATTTTCTGTCATTTTACAACTGCAGAGAGATACCAACAAGCAATCATTCATCCTGACAGGTTTGTTGGTCTCCTCCATCTCTGCAGTACCTACTGTTTCCCAGTATCTTTTGTTCTGAAGTGATCACAGCCCTAACCAACCCTCACAAACATCTTCAAAAGCAATATATTTTGTGCCATTTCACATAGCTTTCCTTGTCCTATATTCAGAAGATAAGCCCCTAATTAGTGCTGCTTTAATTCACTCTCAGGGCTCTGACCAAACAGAATCCATTGCAGGGAGTCAGTTTCATACAAAATACGTATACATTTGCCCATTTTTACAGCTTTGTTTCAGCACAGGTTGCAGCCACAATTTGCTAGTTGGGCTGAAGAAACACATTTGCAGAAAGTCAGCATTTTTCTCATATTGTAGAGATGATCTCTCTTTTTTTCTACAAAGACCAGATACTGCCCCCATCCATATGCTCGTGCTACATAAATAACAAAGTCTCTTCTGGTACCTTAAAGATTAATAGAGTTATTGTGGCACAAGCGTTTTGCAGGCTAGCTTGCATCCACTTCATCAAAGACATGAAATGTTATCCTCACCTGACAGAGAGATGCATATACAGTACAGGTACAGAGAAGAATACTGTGAGCAGTTGGGTCACAATATGCATCAGCTACTGTGTGTAACAATTCCATGTAAAGCTGAAATCTGTATATAGTAGGCATTGTTGACTATACAAAAAAGCATTAATGGCTGACACCACAATCATCAGACTTTGTGACTGAATAGTGCTAATGGCAGAAAAAAACCATTGCCTCAGCTTTAGCTAAATGAACAGAATTCAACTTATAGATAAATTTTAACTTGGCAATCCTACACTGGAGACACCTTTTGAAATTCCTTTATTGAGATAGATAATCTCCCTATGTTTATTGTTTCTAACTTCATGTAATAAAATTATAAGGAAGGGGGCTTATTTTCTCTCTCTCTTTTTTTGATGAAATGTTTGTTAGGTGGAAGGTTGGGTGTTTTTGAGTGTGTGTGTGTGTGTACATATGAATAAACAAAGGAACAAATAAACTACCCTTCTTTCTATGCATCTCCTCAGGAAAAGAGGAAATGTTACATTAATATATGCTTTTCTTTGCTACAAGAACATCAGATGGAATGGCTGTTCCCATAATCATGAAGGTTTCTTGACAGAATCCTACATACAGGAGGAATCACACAGGGAAAATAAGCAGCCTGCTTGCATGTTTCAGTAACTAGGGGATGCTGGAAGAAATGCCCACTGCAGGTGGTAACCAAAATGCTGAGTCCCCGTTAAGTTCACCAAGATCATTTCAAAGTAATATGTAGAGGGCCAAGATCTAAAACCTTTAAGAGTACATTTTCCCCCACATCTTCCCAGACTATGTTTTCAGGGACGTCTATTTTGAGATGGATTATTTCAAATGTTTCTGAGCTGTTCTCATTCTTCTCATGTGGTGAGGGGCCCAGTTATTTTCATAGCAATAAGAGGGTAGGACAGAAATGTTTTGTAATAATTAGGTATTTTAAAAGCCACACAAAACTTCATCTGACATGCTTTCCTGAATGAAATCTTAGGTTTTAGATCCCCCCCATGGATGGGTGAGGTGATGTATACCTCTTGGGAAACTTCATTGATTGATTTAAAAAAAGATCATCTGTATGGCTTTTGTAATTTGCTACATTTTATTGAGAAAGTGCTGGGTTGTGTCTCACTTGCAGGCCTATTATATCAGTGGTTCTTAACCTTTTTGAAAGAAACGCCCCCTTGAGCCATTGAGGAAGTTATCATCGCCCCCCCTCCCTGCGCTGATATCTTATCTTATCTTATCTTATCTTATCTTATCTTATCTTATCTTATCTTATCTTATCTTATCTTATCTTATCTTATCTTATCTTATCTTATCTTATCTTATCTTATCTTATCTTATCTTATCTTATCTTATCTTATCTTATCTTATCTTATCTTATCTTATCTTATCTTATCTTATCTTATCTTATCTTATCTTATCTTATCTTATCTTATCTTATCTTATCTTATCTTATCTTATCTTATCTTATCTTATCTTATCTTATCTTATCTTATCTTATCTTATCTTATCTTATCTTATTTATTTATTTATTTATTTATTTATTTATTTATTTATTTATTTATTTATTTATTTAT